AGGTACTTAAGAGATTGCTACAGAACGGTCTTTATTGTAAATTGGAGAAATGTTTATTTGACCAGAAATCAGTATAATTCCTAGGGTACATCATTTCTGAACAGGGGTTCAGCATGGATCCTTCTAAATTAGAAGCCATATTGAGGCCTTAAGGCAATACAGCGATTTATAGGCTTTGCCAATTATTATCGCAGGTTTATTAAAAACTTTTCATCGGTCATTTCTCCTATCACGAAACTAACTAAAAAGGGTTTGCACCCCAGGGTTTGGACTCCTGAAGCCATCAAAGCCTTCAAAACTCTCAAAAAGGCATTTGCCACTGCCCCTGTGCTACACCATCCTGATCCTTCCCTTCCCTTTATAATGGAAGTAGACGCTTCAGAATCAGGTATAGGAGCTGTATTATCACAAAGATTATCCTATAACGAACCCCTCCATCCCTGTTGTTACTTTTCTAAAAAACTGTCTGATTCGGAAAAGAATTACGACGTTGGAAATAGGGAACTATTAGCTATTGTGATGGCTTTTAAAGAGTGGAGGTACTTATTAGAAGGAGCTAGACACAAATATCGTCTCTTTTCCTTGATGGTATCAAGGCATACCAAACCCAAGCACCCTCTGAGACACCTGTTGGTAGATTATACGTGAAAGAAAAAGATAGAAAGAAATTGTTAGCTTTATTTCACACCGCCAAAACGGCTGGCCACCCAGGGGTTACCAAAACATACAAGGGTCTCCTTCAACAGTTTTGGTGGCCCTCACTTAAGCAAGACGTAGTGGATTATGTGCAGGCTTGTCGTGTTTGTGCACAGTGTAAGTCCCCTAATGTCAAACCCCCGGGACTCCTAATGCCTTTATCCGTACCCAAGAAACCATGGACCCACTTATCCATGGACTTTATTGTGGATCTTCCTTCATCCGATGGAATGACAGTAATTATGACTGTGACTGATAGATTCTCTAAAATGGCACACTATATTCCACTTAAGAAACTACCTTCTGCGGTTCAGTTGGCTCAGGTATTTGCCAAAGAGGTTTTCCGCTTGCATGGTATACCACAGGATATCGTATCTGACAGGGGTTCTCAATTTGTCTCTCGGTTTTGGAGGGGCTTTTGTGCTGAGATGGGGATTTCCTTGTCGTTTACTTCCTCCTATCATCCACAATCTAATGGAGCGGCCGAACGGGCGAATCAATCTGTGGAGTTATATTTACGTTGCTTCACGAATGCACACCAGGACAACTGGTCTCACCTCCTTCCTTGGGCTGAATTCGCCAGGAACACTGTGACTCATTCGTCCACTGGCTTAAGTCCTTTTATGGTTGCTTATGGGTTCCAACCCTCTGTCCTTCCCGGCGTATTCTCCGGTAAGGGAATACCTGCTTTGGACGAGCACCTCACCTCCTTACGGAAGATGTGGGATCAGGTCCATGCTACTCTTTCTCGTGCGACTGCTACTTAGAAGAGATTTGCTGATCGTCGTAGGGGTGCTGCTCCCTCTTATGTCCCGGGTGATAGGGTTTGGTTGTCCTCTAAGAATCTCCGCCTCAGGGTCCCCTCAATGAAATTCGCGCCCATGTTCCTTGGCCCCTATAAGGTATTGCGTAGGGTCAATCCTGTGTCCTACTCCCTGGCCTTGCTTCCTTCCATGCGTATACCTAACACTTTCCACACCTCCCTTTTGAAGCCCCTGCTCTGTAATCGATTCTCTGGTCCTCTCAGGCATCCAGATTCCCTCCGCGCTGTCTCTAATGACGTGTGGCTGCTCTGCTTGATTCTCGTTTTTCTCGGGGTCAGTTGCAGTATCTGGTTGATTGGAAGGGTTATGGCCCTGAGTTGCGGTCCTGGGTTTCTGCCTCTGACTTGAATGCGCCCTCTTTGATCCGCTCCTTTGATGCGCGGTTCCCTTTGAAGCCTTCGGCTTCTCGCCCGTTGGGCTGGCCTCGAGAGGGGGGTTATGTCAGGGATCCGCGGGCGGCTAGGAGGGGAGGCTGCACGCTACTTGCAGCACTCACCCTCAGTCCATCGCCGCCCGCGGTCTCCCCTCGTCTCACCTGTCGGCGAGCGGCGTCTCCTCTCTGCCGCTCGCCGCTCGCGTCCTCCGCGCACCCCAGCGGCAGCATGTATAACGCTGCACGCTGGGAGGTCACTAAATTATGCAAATCCCGGGGTCACGTGAGTGACCCGGCGTTAAAGAAACAGTACCACAATCACAGTGGGAGGTATAGATATCCCCCACGTGTGATTGTTAATTTTGATTGGAAGTTATCCAATCAGAATTAAACCAAGGGTATTTATACTTACCTTTCCTGTCCCTCAGTGCCCTGCTGTGGTCTTGTGATACCTGTAGTGCTGTTCTCTCGTGTTGCTCTCTGGTTTCCGATTATTTGGCTCGTTATTCCGATTATCCTGTCTTCTCCACTCCACTCGGCTTGTTTCTCATTCTCCCATTTTCTGGCTCCCTTTACTTGGCTTGTCTCCTGACCATTCTTAGTGTGCTTAGCCCGGCCACTCTAAGGACCGGTATAGCACCCTTCCTCTCTGTGACCTGTTGGCGTGTTAGGTTCCGGAATCGTGACAGGTCCATTGTATCTTTTTGTACCTTATCTTCAGTACAGATACATCATGCACAATGTGTTACAAGAAACTGTTTGTTTAAACTTGTGTTGGATCATTTTAAGGAAACTTGTGTTCTTGAGCTGAATTTAGGAGATGTAGGATAAAATCTGTTACAAATAACAGTGGAATAAAGTGTTTAACAGCACTTTAGCTTTTGAAAATATTCACGTATATGTCAAGAAAAGAAAATAGCAAATTTTTAGAATCCCCATGTGTATTCTATCTATTTACCTTATTTTCAGAATACCCTTTTAGAGGATTACGTCTATAGGGAAATGTATAATTAAACATTCATTATTAGTTATTAGCAATTACAATTAATGATCATTATTATTATAATAAGAGGTTTACATTTCATTCAGTCGGGTTACGGCCATGTGGTGTCTCCTGTTACTTTTTCCAGCCATTAGGAGAAATTAGAAACAGGTATTGGGTTATTCCTTAGGTTCTGTTAGCAGTTATACTCATAAAATCCTGACTAATCTTGATATTGGCGTCAGTGTAATCTCTCCATAGCAAATCTTGTTTTTCATATCATTCTTGCTTGCATTAGATAAGACAGGTGCTCATGGGGCATATAGAAGGCTTTAAACCACCTTCCAGACTTATAGATTGATATACTCAGTGATGGAAACAAAGTCACATCTAAAAAAAAAGGAACAGATGATATTTACTTACAACTGCAATCACTACTAAATGGATGTTTTTCATTCATTATACATATTGCTGCATGGAAGCCTTGTGCGAGAGATTCTTGCCTGGGAAAGTACTAATTGCATTGGTAATTAAAGTGAAACTGTTGTGAAAAAAACTACTTACCAGAAATTACTCCCATATACATTGAATGCACACTATATATCATAAGGATACATGGTAAGGATATGTGGCGAAACCAACCTCGCCACTGTGAACTGGAGAAGCCTGGTTGCTCGCCTGCTCCCTTTGGACTATGGCTCTGCAGGTTAAACCGTTTATTTCCCCTGCAGAAAGGCTTATTTGTGTGATCTGAGTGCCATTCATCTAATAATGTGCACTCAGATCCCAGCTATCTGGGGATATGTGAAATGTCTGTGTGTTATGTGTAAATGTGACTTTATGTATTTTAAAGTGTTTTGTGTCTTTTTGCAACCATGTGCTTAATGGAGTCTTGTGTCTATCCTGGGAGATAATTGAATTACTCTCCAGGATAGAAGACTCTGAAACTGGTTTGGGCCAGAAAGCCATGCTTCATTTAGTCACAAAGGACTTTCCCTTAACTTTTGAACCCCTGGTCTGATTCGTGCCATTTTTTAATATGTTGTTCCCCTGAATGGATTGATTATGAAAATGTATGTTTTATGTTTGTGACATGTATATTTTAGAAGTTATAAATATTGTGTAAAAACTGTATTCCTCTGCCGGTGATAATGAGATTACCCATTGTGTTCAGTAATCATATCACCTGCAGAGGGGAGGATTTTGTGTGGGAGTGTCTGGGTGTATTGTACGGATTGATTGGTTGTTTTGTAACACCCTGTGGGCTGTACTATGTTTTGTGGATTGTAATAAAAACCAGGCTGGGTGTGCCAGCACTTGAGTTCCTGTTTTAACCCTCAAAGTGAAGTGTCGTCTCATTATTGGGGGAAGGATTTATTGTATGCTGTTCCAGTTTGACTGCTAGGAGAGTAAACCTATTCGTATGGTTCCTATTCAACTGTCTACAGCATTCATATGCTTGGGAGAATTTATTTGTTTCTCCGGTTCGGTGATTGTGGTGTCTGCCAGAGTGCTTGGAGTCCTCAGGAAGCGCTAGGAGCATCCTTCAACGGAGGTACCCAGTCGGGGTGCCAGGCGATCCGTTACATTGGTGGCAGCGGTGGGATGGCGTCCTAGTGCGAGGTAAAGCAGCTCAGAGACACAGTTCGTGGATTTACAAATTGAAGGTGACGCTAGTGTTCATACAGCGTCCCTGTCTACATAAAGATTTGGGAAAACCAGCACTACTTCAGAGATGGAAGGCCGTGCAGTATCTCACTTTGACGCCAGGCTCCAGCAGCGACTACAGGATGTGATGCGAAGTATGGAGTATCCTATCCCAGAGGAAAGAGAGACAGAGTGGAGGGTGGCGCTTCGTACCGATCTCTGGAAGGAGGACATCGACGAAATTCGACCCTTCCGGTGCGAGGAAATCCTGACCACTAACCAGCGCCAAGCAGAACAACTAGAGCTGCGGATGCCGTTATTGGGAAACAAGCCCTCAGAGGAATGGGTAAGCGAACTGGAGACGCTAGTTGAGACTGAGGTATGGCTGGATGATTCCTATCGGGCCCTGCGGTGGCATGTTTACCACCTCTACCCATGGCTGATTGAGTACAAGTGTATTGAGGGGGAAGACTACGACGGCCCTGGTTTGTTGTGGGATACTATTGAAACTAGTCTCTGGTTCGGAGACACCGACATTGCTCGCTTCTGGTCCATCCGAGCTGAGCGGGCAGACAACTGGGACCTTACAGAGATCGATGCCATTCAGCCAGATCTATCTTTTCTTGCCAACCGAGAGTCGGAACTAGAACAGGATTATGTTTGCCTATTCCAACGTATAACGCTGCCTGTCTTTGACATGATGGGGCTTATTGACTGTATACCACTGGAAGCATTGAGTTTAGTTCCTCCTCCCCAGCAACCAAGCCTGTTATCAGGAGACCTTGGTACTGTACCACATATGTCCCAACCAGCCCCAGAGATGGAAGACCTTATTGACTTGTCCTGGGAAGACACCCAGCTGGCAGGTGGGAATGGGACCGAGGTCTCTCTACAGGCCCTACAGGGATGCTGGGCAGTCAGCCCAGATCCCCAGCGGCAGTATGTATCCCAGGGAGCTGAAGGTGCTGTACTTCCTCCCCAGCGGCAGTGTGTCCTGCAGGAAGCGGAGGCAGTCGGTCTCGCTCCCCAGCAGTAGGGCAATATATTAAAAGGGGAGACAGTTGGTCCCCCTCTCCAACAGCAGAGAGTGTTCCAGGGAGAGGAACCGGTTATCACCTCTCCCCAGCAACAGGACAAATTATTGAAAGGGGAGACAGTCGGTCTCCCCCTCCAACAGCAGAGAGAGTGTCAGGGAGAGGAGCTTGTTATCCCCTCTCCCCAGCGGCAGTGTGTACCCCAGGGAGCAGAAGGTGCCATCCTTCCTCCCCAGCGGCAGTGTGTATCCCAGGAAGCCAAAGGTGTCGTCCTTCCTCCCCAGCGGCAGTGTGTACCCCAGGGAGCTGAAGGTGCCGTCCTTCCTCCCCAGCGGCAGTGTGTACCCCAGGAAGCAGAGACCATCTGTCACGCACCCCAGCCACAGGACAAAATATTGAAAGGGGAGACAGTTGGTCCCCCTCTCCACCAGCAAAGAGAGTGTCAGGGAGAGGAGCAGGTTACCCCCTCTCCCCAGCGGCAGGCTACAGTTCAGAGAGAGGAGCTTGTTACACCCTCTCTCCAGCGGCAGCCTAACCCACCAAGGGGAGATGTTAAGCCCCACAACTATGCAGATGGGACCGTAGTCTCTGCACTTGCAGCACCAGGGGTAGGGACAGTCGGTCCTGTCCCCAGCCACAGAGCAGTGTATCCAGAGGGGAGACAGTCGGTCTCCCCCTCCCACAACCAGGCTCCAACCAGGCTACTTCAGTGGTAGCGCTGGCACCCGGGCAGAGTACCGCTGGTCTCTGCCCACTCAGCAACCCACCAAGGCAGTCTACCAGCCCCCCGCACAGCCGTGGTGAGGCATCTGGACATGGACAAGTTGCTATTTTATCCAGGTGTAGTAACCAGTTATTGTGGGTGGGCTGTATTGCTGCTTGTGCTTCGTGGGTGGGTTGCTGGACTAACCAGGGCACTGACCGGCAGGAGGTCAGATACCCTGTTAGTTTGGATGGTAAAGGGGAAAAATGTGGCGAAACCGGCCTCGCCACGTGTCCTTGGAGGGGGCTGCTTGCCCGCCTCTTGCCTTTGGACTATGGACCAGACCTTGTGTGAATGTGTTATACCCCAGATAGGAATCCCATGGAGCCCATTCGTATGAAACTGACTGTAAAGACTTGGCTCCATGGCGATTAAACTGTATTTGTGTGGTCCGAGCGCCATTCACTTAATAATGTGCGCTCAGACCTGAGCTATCTGGGGATATGTGAAATGTCTGTGTGTTATGTGTAAAATGTGACTTTATGTATTTTAAAGTGTTTTGTGTCTTTTGCAACCATGTGCTTAATGGAGTCTTGTGTGTGTCCTGGGAGATAATTGAATTACTTATCTCCAGGATAGAAGACTCTGAAACTGGTTTGGGCCAGAAAGCCATGCTTCATTTAGTCACAAAGGACTTTCCCTTAACTTTTGAACCCCTGGTCTGATTCGTGCCATTTTTTTATATTTTGTTCCCCTGAATGGATTGATTATGAAAATGTATGTTTTATGTTTGTGACATGTATATTTTAGAAGTTAGAAATATTGTGTAAAAACTGTATTCCTCTGCCGGTGATAATGAGATTACCCATTGTGTTCAGTAATCATACCACCTGCAGAATGGAGGATTTTGTGTGGGAGTGTCTGGGTGTATTGTACGGATTGATTGGTTGTTTTGTAACGCCCTGTGGGCTGTACTATGTTTGTGGATTGGGAATAAAAGAGACTGTATGTGACAGTACAGAGAGTTCCTGCTTAACCCTCAAAGTGAAGTGTCGTCTCATTATTGGGGAAGGATTTATTGTATGCTGTTCCAGTTTGACTGCTAGGAGAGTAAACCTATTCGTATGGTTCCTATTCAACTGTCTACAGCATTCATATGCTTGAGAGGATTCACATGCTTCTCCGGTTCGGTGGTTGTGGTGTCTGCTGCAGTGCTTGGAGTCCTCAGGAAGCGCTAGGAGCATCCTTTAATGGAGGTACCCAGTCGGGGTGCCAGGCGATCCGTTACATTCCCAAAGTGGGCGCAGACACTGAGCCCCATATCTTTATTTAATTGTGACTTGAAATTGTTTATATACTTTCATGCTGACTTCAGCCTCATCTTAATGATCTGGTGCAAGGTGATAGAGTAGATTTTATCCTGGCTCTACTGTCATGGTAAAGGTCTTTGATAGAGTAAGCTGGGAATTTATCTTTGCAACCATGGAGCATATGGACTTTTTGTCCCGCACCTCATGAACTGAATTCACTCAATTTATACTGTGCCTTCTGCTAGTATCTGAGAAAATAAAGTGTTTACTGACTCCTTCCAAGTGATACTAGACAGGAATGCCCATTTTAACCATTGCTGTTTCTCCTTGCCCTCAAACCCTTACTCATTGCGTTTCACTGTATCCCTATATCACAGGTCTTTCAGTTGGCCACACAAAACATAAACTGGCCGCATATGCAGACAACCTTTTATTTTATGTTACAAACCCAGTGGTTGCACTGCCTAGCATCTTTAAAGAATTTGAGACCTATGGCTCCCTAACCAATTTAAGTATGAATTACTTAAAATCTACAATCCTCAATATTTCAATACGTCCTCATGTCAGGACCAACCCTATCTGTCAGATGATTTTCCCTTCAGTGGTCCAATACCTCATTTAAGTATTTGGGTGTATAGCTGGCAGAAGATTTTGGCCAACTATATCCAACCCATAATTCCTCTCTGTCATGCTCAATGAGTGGCATACCATTGCAGAAATATTGGAATTGTCCTTGATTCACTCTTTGTTCTCCCACTGGTCTATAGCTTAGGTTCCAAATAAACATTGTACTTGGCAGTGAAGGAGTTAAAGAAAGAATATATATGGTTAAGATGGAAGACGATATTACATAGTTTCTGGCTAAAGAATAAATATGGATTGTTGGATTAAAGTTTACATTGTTCTAATTTTTTAATGAGTCAGAGGATGTATATGGTAAGAAGACAAAAGAGAGATCTAGTTCAGGAAAACAAAGGGGTAAGTCTATACTGTATCAAATACTAGTATAGACTAAAGGGGTGGCACAACAAACATGAACCATACAACCTGTATACACTATAACACAGTTCTTCAAAGAATCTAAAACATGAAAAAAATCACATAATAGTGAAGTATGTACAGGAATATATGATTCAGTCCCGTAGATAGAGAACTTACAAGACCGTGCTGTAGATCCCTGAAGAAGTCTACATAGACGAAACGCGTTGGATATTGATCAGGAATACCTTTTTTCTTCTTTTTTGTTATTTTATTGTTTTTAGTATAACTTTTTATATTTTTATACTATCACAGAGGGACTTCTTTTCCTCGGTACCACTTGTGAGTGGTGATATGCTGCTATAATCTTCACTTGATGTAAGTGCAATTTGTATTAATAAATCTATCTTTGTTTGCAATACTGCTCTATATACCTCTTTTTATTTGAGGATTGGGTGTTCTGAATCTACGCCTTTTTGGTCCATACACACAAGCCCACTGAGAAAGAATACGCTACTTTAATACCCTATGGAAGGGAGACAAGCGCAGATCTACAGCACGGTCTTGTAAGTTCTCTATCTACGGGACTGAATCATATATTCCTGTACATACTTCACTATTATGTGATTTTTTTTTCATGTTTTAGATTCTTTGAAGAACTGTGTTATAGTGTATACAGGTTGTATGGTTCATGTTTGTTGTGCCACCCCTTTAGTCTATACTAGTATTTGATACAGTATAGACTTACCCCTTTGTCTATATTGTATTGGTGTATGTGAGGTACACTTCTGGGTGTTTTGGCACTGTTTTGTGGTTTTTGCTTGGGATATTATATAGTGCCTCTTTCTTTTTTCTAGTTCAGGAAAGGTGAGTTTTATTTACAGATTGGGGTTTACATAGTTTCCAGAATAATGCAATTCTATTTCTTATCAAGTTTATAAAGGAAATGGTCAACAACAAAATTCTGTTAATTTACCATTTGTAATTTCATATTTAAAAAAATGGCTGAACAGCTAAATAATCTTGTCTCAACCAATTATTCACATCTTATTTGGTACCATCCATTATCTACTTTTAAATCAATAAATCTAATATGTGAATGCTAAATAAAATGGAAATTTCTCATTTACAAAAAATAATGAGTATTAACCAGATTCTCTTTGAATAAATCCATAGCTTTATTTGACAGTCAAGTTGCGTAATAACTCATATTTTTTTACTCTGCATCACATTATTTTTAATTGAAATATCCGTGGTTATTTATGCCTGTGTCATTAACTCTACTACAGGAAAAATGAAATAAATAATATAAAAGTTAATATGTACAATTATTTAATAATAATAATAGTAAATGAATAAAATAATATACATATAATATATAATAGTAAGAAAATCAACCATTTAAATGTTATTAATGATTGAGATATGTGGGACCATTGTATGGTGCTAACCCTTTTTTTTATTAACTTAAATTTTGATAATGACAGCTTTTTGTAAGGATTGCTTCTATTAGAACTGCCTGCAAATTATGTCTAACTTGATATTTCAGGTAGAGAGCTTTAAATTCTGTCTAATTATCATTGAGTGTTATTGCATATTTTTTTATAAATCAGTTCCAAATATTAGCGGTTGATTTGCATCTGGTCAATCTGGACAAGTAATATGATTAGATTCAAGGTTATTGAGAGAAGTAATGCAAAATCCAGATATATTGATAAATCCTTGAGAAAAATGTCTGCAGACCAAAGTTTGCAGTGCAAATGACGTGGATTGTACCGGTTTAATTTTATAATCTAGGGCTAGGGAAAGGAAACCTTCGGCACTCCAGATGTTGTGGACTACATCCCCCATAATGCTGGCAAAGCATCATGGGAGGTGTAGTCCAAAACATCTGGAGTGCCGAAGGTTGCCTACGCCTGATCTAGGGAATAATCTAGAATGACAGGTTCATTCAGTCCTTAATGGATAACTCTGCAAGTGGTTAATACTCATGTTTAGTTGATTAAAACATGCATTTGTGTAAGTGGAAGTCTTAGCAGCTTACAATTTGCTCCTTTCTTTAATAATATTGTAGAGTGCATCACTCATGTCAAAATTATCCTGCTTATATTTAGGGGGTAAAAATTAGACAGGTATATTGATATTACTTAAATGGAAAGCTGAAAAAATCTAACTTTATTGGAAGTCAAACAATGAGAAATAATAAGAAATAATACAGAGACAAGTGCTTCTTTTGTCATAGA